AGTGTGAAAGATTTCTTATAAGCAACTGTAAATTTGAATATTTTTTAGAACTGGCAAGAAATTACAATAAACAATATGCATTTCAACTACCTTATCCTCCTCCTCTTCTCCTAATTAAACATCCAAAGTATAGTAAGTCCATTAAAGATTGAAAAATAAAACACTTTCAACATCAGATGAAATGGATAGTTTCATATAATTTCAGGAGGCCCAAACGGAAGAAACAACGCTTTCCGATTTATCAATGCCGGAAGTAAGTGAGAAATTACAGGATTCAATGATAAAAGAGGCGGATAAAGAACAGACAATGTCGCCGAATTTACCAATCCAAGAAGCGAATGCTGAACAAGAATTACAGCGCCCCGTATCTCCAAAAAAATATGGTTGGAAAGACATAGGAAGAATCATGTCAGTAAACAGCCGCACGATTTTTCGAAATGCGAAAAACATTTCTCTCGATCAACGAATATGAAAAGAAGTAGAAGGATTCGTATCGGTAAAAAGCTGTACCGTTGTCCCGCATGCAGAAAAAATTTCTCTCAGAAAAGACATATGCAGAGTCAAACACTCTTTGTTTTAATAATTATATCATTAAGACATGCTTAACATGTAAACACTCGGACACGCAAATGTTTCGCTATTATTGAATTATTAATTAAATATAATTTAAAGAAAATTTCGGAATTTTTTTCTGCTTGTTTATCGAAATTATCTTTTGAAGCAATTGATAACGTTGTTTGAAAAAAAGCGATAAATTTTAAAGGTTAATATTAAACATAATTTGGCTGAATAAATCTCTAATCTATACGATATTGAATAATTCTGTCCTTTAATCCTATTTGTGAATTTTTTGTCTTTAATTTTCGTGACGTCAGTTAGTTGTGATAATTACAAGAATATTGCCTTATTTTTTTAACAAAATAAGTGAAATTTGCTGAGAGTGGTGATAAAGATTATTTTATCATTCATACCTTTATTGAATAACAATCAAAATGTTCTAAGTAATGGAATGAATTAAAATTGAAGGAAAGATAAAATAATTTCATGAGTTTATTCATTTGTTTTGTTTATTAGAAAAAATTAAAAGTTAAAATAGAAGATTGAAATTAGAAGAAATCGACTACGAAAGAGTGGAAATTGCACTGTTTGGTAATAGAAACCTAAAATCATCGTTTGTTGCCAAAGTACGAATAAGATAAAAACTATGGAATGCTTCTATATATTATACCCATAGAAGCTACTATAATCAATTACCTAGCAATAGGTCATTAAGGTTTAATGAAGATATCAAGTTGCTTGGCCATTGAAAGAAGCAAAATTTAGCTAAATGACAATCTTTGATTATGCTTTGGCTGTTTAAAATCATTAATCCAGAGATTTCAGAATAATGAACATTTATTTCTGACGTACAACGAAATAATTCACGAACAATTACAATATAACATTATCGAAGAGGTATGCCCCGAAATGGATCAGGTTGAAATCACTTATTATTTACATCATCATGAGGCTATAAAACTAAGTAAGACCACAACCAAAATTAGAATTGTCTATGATGCTTCTAAAGAAATGAAAAGTTTAAACGACATCTTACATCACATCACCAAATACGTTGTAAAAGTTTTTTTTATAGGATTCCTTTTGAGAGATGGCTTTGTGTGATACTAATCGAATTGTGGTGAATATTTAGTATTTGATGGATAATACAATTATCAGGAATTGTTAAGAGTAGGAATGATAACATGGTTCTTTTTGACCCGAGACTTCTCGTTGAGATGTAGGTTTAGAGGAATGTAAATGATAGGACCGCCTTGAACAGTAAGTTAACACTAAAACTATTATAATTGTTCGAAACGTTAATTTGAATTTTTTCTTTTTTGACAGAAATTCTTTATTTGATTTATTTGCAAACATTTATTTTAGGATAATTGAATGTTATCAAACAGTGGAAGAGAAGGAATTTTATGATAATCGCTTCATTTCTAAAATTCGCAACATTTCTCCTCAGGTTATAATTAGGTAAACATAAGATTTATTTGACTATCATTAACATTTTTAAAATTATCATCTAAATTTGATGATAATGATCAATCTCCTTTTAATTCATATAATAAATTGACGTAATGTAAAAAATTTCTTACACAAAATAATTATTGAATTGTAAATTAGTTGCATTATTCAAAGAAATAATGATATAATTTTTGGTTCGTATTAGTGAAAACCTAATTCAAACGGATTATGCGTCAGCTATTCATCTCTTGTCATTGTCATATGATATCCAGAAAGCGATTTTTTGGTGGAAAGAATCGAATACTGATGAATATTCCGATTATGAAAATGTTGAGAAACTCTTTTGAGTACAAAATTGGTAACCGCTTCCAGCAACTCCCAAATTAATCAATCCAATTATTTGTGGTAACAGACAATTCAAGAAAATATTTCAATAAATGGGATTTTAGATTTTCATTTGCGCCCAGAATAGTGGGGTGATGTGATTTATATAGTCTATTTTTCCGCCTGGAAACATTGGAACTCATAGGGTAACTCGGTTTAAGGTGTTCAACATAACTACTATGATGGGTATTTAAACTTCAAAATTCATTCAAATGAACTTAATTTTTCGTCATCACCAACAATGACTGTGCGATTAAATTATTTTGAAATATTTAAATAAATATTTGCGTATATTACTTTTCTACCATTTGCTGTTTACTTTCCAATCGAATACGTGTGTGGTTGTGAGTTTATTGTATTTCGCACAGTTTTTGCATATAATGCAACATTTGCTGTAAAAGTCTTCATTATATTTTGCAGCTAAGCAGAAATGATAGCACTATAATTGCAAGTTTTAAATAGTAGAAAAGGAAATTTTAGATAATGTAGTCAGATTTTGCTGAAAATTTATGGACTGATTTGTTAAACTAAATTGAAAACAATTGAAATATGTGTTATAAACAGAAGAAATATATGAAACATATATGCAAACTATTCATAAAACTAATAGAATTTATTGTATAGTTTTCCTTCCCTTTAAGATGAAATTATTTGAAAATTTGGAAGAGGAGGCATTGCTCACAATGGTGGACAAATACTGTTTGCAACCAGTTCATAATGCTTTCGAATCAAATAACAGGAAGTTCGACGCTGCGGCTGTTAATGAAAAAGTAAGACTGGTATTTAATTTTTAGTTAGGACTTTTTACAAATATCATAGCGCTTTGCTAATGTTTCTCTTTCGGTTTAAACGAGGTATGTGCTAGTCAACAATGCTTGTCATACTAAATGACACAGTCAAGTCGAATGAGATTCAAAATTTTTTGTTTAGAACGATCAGTGGTTCAGCTCTTTATTACTGCATCTGAAATAGTTTTGCATTTGAAAATCATTTGAAAAAAGCTTTAGGTGATCATTGATAAACTGATTGATCTTTATCCTAATTCCGTTGCTACACAATCCGTTGCAATACTTGATGCATTGATCTATAAAATGAGTGCTCCGTACAGGTATCAAGTTTTTAATCTTTATATGAATGAGTAACACATTGGAATTTAATGTTTACTTTTTTAAAGAGAATTCCGTTCGAAGTATAGGAAACATCAAGTTTTCCATAAATAGCAGTGTGAAGCTGATAATAATTATTTTTAGAAACGCTAAGTTTTGGAGGTTTACTCGTCATGTTTCGAAAGAATTAAATAAGTTGAATGCTCTGAAACTCAATAAATATTTGAAAAATATTTCAAAGGTACTTTGTTGTTTTCAAAACATTGCAATTTTTAATACTTATCATTATCGGCCTTCCGCAGCACTATTGGCTGTATATATTATGACTAAAAAGTTCTCGTCTTCTCATTTAGATGTTAGGGAATTCAACAGAGAAGCCACTGCTGAGAAAGTAAGATCTTATAAATTTTTTTCTCGAACACAGCCTTTCTCTCATAATGTTGATAGAGTCAAATTCTTGCTTATAGGATATGTTGAAATCAGAGATGCGTTACAGTTTGAATATTTGTGCAAAACGATACATAGCAACAATGCTGATACGCAGGGCAGTTCGTACTTGCAGGCTTCGAAAACTTTGTGAGCAGGCTGCCGTCCATTGTCTTCAGCATATACAAACTGGATATTTGGTATGTTTTTCGTAGGACGAGTAATGATACAATTATTCTATAAGCGATGTTAGATATATAAAATAAGCAGCAAAACTGTATTTCTTGAAGGTGAATCTTGTAACCGTTCATTTTTTGCCAAGGTTACCTCATTTAAATTACTAAAATAATAAAGTAATTAATATAATAATATAATAATAATTATTTTTTCTAGAAATAAAAGAAAAATTTTGTGTTTTGTCAAAATTTTGTCATTGTCGTTTTTTAGTTGCAGTCAAATTTACTGCTACTGGCACTGAATGCTGATATTTATCATGATCTCAAGAAGAATATGGCTAAAATAGTAGAATGTTACGATTGCTTGCAGTCATTTCTTACTGATTCTACGTATGAGTTGGTGTGAGTTTGCGTAGGAAAGTGCTAATTTTCTGTATCTAGTTTATAGTTGTGCCATTGCAAGATGCATCTGGATCGAATGTTTAGAAGGGCTAGAATGCTGTCTTTACCTTCCTTCTTTGATTAGATATTTTTTTCAGTTTGCTGCATGTCAGAAGATTGTTGATGGTAGCAAATAATGAGTTTGAAAATAGCACATTTCTGTTTTCATCACAGGATTACTTTCGCCCGATTGCTTTAATATGTGGTATTGAGGAAAGCGAATATATTGATTTATTAGCTTCCACTGGTACAACGAGGAAAAGCAAACGGTATTTTTCAGCTTTTAAATATATGATATTGTAATAAGATCATCCGTTTTACACTCATTTATTCATCAATATCCACAGAAATTGTTCGAGCTTGAAAGTTACGACTACTTTACACAAATTTAGTGATTCCATGGGTCAGATGAATCTATGATTACTTGAAGTATCTTTCATTTCTCTTCCATCAGTGGCAAACGACAAACATCACCATTATTAACCAATATAATCTCAGTTTACGATGTATAAAACGATGTATAAAAGAAAAAAAATGATTAATAAACTTCTTTTCGAAGTTCATTGTTAAACATTGATATATGATATCGCTTGTTTGTTGTGTAAATATTGTTATTAAAATTTTCGAGTTTTGTTTTTTGTGTATTCTTTTACTTTCATTGTAAAGTAAATTAATTACTTCATATATATACTACTATAGGCTTTTAGATACTTCAAGTTCATTGAATTTGGGTAGTGGACAGAACATACTGTACTCTCCGGATTTCATCTTGAGAATAAATTGAATTACGCATCAAGGGCGAATAAATGCTATCAAGGTGTTTGGCCATACTTCGGGTCAAGGAACAGTTGAGTAAAAATTTATGTCTGGTGATACGGAACTTTGGCATAAACAAGAAACCAATGATCCATGTTTGATATGGTCAGAACAGGCGAACGTTATCATTGATGTAAAGGAGAGTTAATACTACTTTAATGGGTTTTCAAATTTGAGACATACTGCAAAGGATGTCAACATATCATGAAGGAGACTATAACCACCATTTCAGTAATCGTCTCAGTAGTCATATCTTCACCTCTGTAAGTTTCTTACTAGCTGTTGATTCCAATCGATTTATTTCTTTTACGTTACGATCGAAATCATTAGGTAGAAAGAATAGCTTAATTAGAAATAATTTTTAAGCACAAGATTATGTTGCATATACCATATGCTCTTGTTTTCGTTTATATATTATTTTCGTTTATAAATTTTAGTACGTTATAAGTGGTATTGCGTTAGTATATATTGCTTACAGCAGCGAAATAATTCTAGTGTAATCAGCGTGTTGCGGGAATCGATCGACAATAAGGCTAATGCATATTCAGACATTCAGTAGGTCATAGCTTTGCGAAACTGAGAATCATTGGGATGATCAGGATGGGCCAATTTTGCATTTCATGAAAAAGTCACTTGAGTAACATAGTTCGAAAATGATCAAATAATGGCTAAAATACTTTCATTACAGAGTTATAAACAGTTGGTCACCGAAAGTATAATACTAACTATAGTCATTTACGGTGTAATTATTCTAAAGTTTCGCAAGCGAAAACATACATGGCTAACGCAACAGGTAACTTTTTCTCTGTTGAAAGAGCTTTGATTGCCCTACTTTTCAAGATATTATGTAATACATGATCAAAATATTATAGCAAAAAGAGCGAATAATCAAGGAATGGAAACCGGAGCCATTGGTACCTGAAATTCCCGCGGAACATCCAGCCTTGCAAACACATTACTTTTATGGGTTGGGCATTTTTTCGACAAAATGTATTATTCTGTGTTAGTTATTGTTGGAGTATATCTATTATGTCTAATACCATAGCAGCTTGTTTATAGGAAAGTGAGCAAATTTGTCATCTACGATGGTAAAGAATATTTGAATTTGGCAACAACGAATTTTTTAGGATTGATCGGAGATAAAACGATTGAGGTAATTGACAATCCCAATTTTACAATGAATGGAAGGCAACACCACTATATTCTGCCATTATGAGATTGAAAATGGCTGATGAACTCGAAGGATGTCTGCTTAAATGCCTCATTATTTTGCAGAAAGAGGCAAAAGAAGCCATTTCGAAATATGGTGTTGGTTCATGTGGACCACGTCATTTTTATGGTACAGTGGATGTACATCTTGCATTAGAGAAACAACTTGCCGATTTCCTGGGATGCGAGGAAGCGGTACTCTATAGTTATGGTTTCGTAACTATTTCTAGTGCTATACCAGCATATGCAAAAAAGGGAGATGTCATTTTTGCAGACAAAGGTAATTTTTTATAGCTGTAAACAGTTCTATTCCATCTAGTTATTCTCTATATTCCTAAAAATAGTAACACTTATCTGCGTGTCACTCACATTGTAAGTTTCAAATGGTTTTATTTCACAAAATTTCTTTGCTGGATGGTCAAAAATAAATGTCAGAACTTTTCGAAATATATTAATACAAGCTTCGAAAAGACTAGGCAAAAATCTAGCCAGTGGGTAGTTGAACGGGACGTTTGGTGATCACATCGAAAAATTTTTCGAAGGCGAGAGCTCAATATCCTCAATTTGTTATAGATGCATACTTTAGAGCATATGTTATGTTGATGGCTATTGTTGATAAACTGGTGAGTGTAAAATTTTCTTATTGTACTCTAGAATTGAATATTAAATTGTAATGATTGATTTGATTGATTTGATTAAGCTTCTTGGCATTTAGGAGTGAATTTTGCAATACAAGAAGGACTCAAAGCATCTAAAAGTCGTATCGAGTGGTTCAGTCACAATGACATCAGTGATCTGGAGAGGTTATTAATGGAACAGGCCGAGCGTGACCGTAAAGTTTGTGATTCAATTTAACGTAAAGATATTGAACTTGATATACAGCACTTTTTTGCATTTCTGTAGCACTTATTTCCAATTTCACTGATTGTTTACCTCACTTCCAAAAAGTTTTCACATTTTTTATTGCAGTTTCCAAAGTTGGCATCAAAAACAAGACGATTTATGGTGGTTGAAGGACTTTACATGAATAGCGGTGACTTGTGCCCATTGCCTGAACTTATGGCTCTGAAATGGAAATATAAAGTACGGATCTTCATCGATGAGTCATTGTCCATTGGTGTTATTGGCAAAACAGGAAGAGGTCAGTTTCTTCTCTTTCTAATAAATAGTAAGTTCGTGAGATATTTTCAACAGAAGCAAGATTTTTCACTTTATTTTTGTCTGATCAATTTATTTTCTAAATGGTATAAATCGAAATAGCGTAAAAAGGACAAAATGTCACAAATGAAATAAAATTCGCGAAATGTCAAGAAAACTCTTTACCGTAGAAATTCTTTCAGTATAATAATCTCTCCTTTATTCCGATTATAAAGTTTGAGAACTCTTTATCATCAACACAAATGCTGATGGCTAGGATATCTCATAAGATAAAACCAAAATGAATTTAAAGTCACATAATTACTTGTAAATGCAGAGATATGAGAAAAACATGTGCACAATACGGGCGAATGTCGTACTTCTATGTTCTTAAGCTAATGTGACTTAGAACCTGATTCAAACATATTCATTTGGTTATAAGGAATGGAGTGTTTGAATTAACCTTGTTAACAAACGGTAGGAAAATGTATTTTGGGTCAATTGTGCAAACTTATACCATTGATCCAAAATACATTTTCCTACCGTATAAGTTTGCACTTTATCAGGTTTAATGACAGCAAGGCTTATATTCTACTAACTTCTTGGAGATCCGAATTGAATTGGAAAAATTTATCAAGTTTTCTTCTCAGACTTCTAAATAATTTTAAAATATAATAAAAATTAAAAAAAGTTTAAAATATTAATGTATATGTGTGGTGTGTGTGTATTCATGTGTGTTTGTATGTATGGTGCTTTTGTACAAATTTGTCAGTAAAAACGTCAATTGAAGATTATCATATCATTATCATAATGATTAGATTCTCATTAATCAGTAATAAAAGTGACATTGTTAATAATAAAACAAAACTAAGAGAAATAGTAGTTATATTTGTAGTGCTCCAAGCAGTGTTATTCTTTACTTGATCATTAAATGATAATAATTTCCCGTAGGTAACCATTAGATCGAGTGCTACCCCATTCGTCCAACCAAAGCCATTCTTTAAAATAAATATATAAAAGTTGTTTATATATGTTTTTTTCATGATGCTTTTGTCATTCTTTTAATTAAGTGTAGTAAAGGTTTTTCAAATATATTTGAAAAACACATTGTCATTTTGATTATCATTTTCTAAAAAGTCAAATGAAAGATCCTTATTTATTTTTGAGGGAGATTTTTTGAATTTCAAAGAGGGTATTTTTGCTTTCAAGCAAAAAAGTTTTTTAACCTGAGTCTCATATTCACCGCCTTCAGCTTTTGTCTCGTACTGCTTGGTAACATCATATTTTTCCCACATTTTGCCATCTTTCAAATAAGCTTGATAATTGAGGTTGATCCATTTTTGTGCGATATCGAACGCTTTTTGTTGCATCCTATGAATTCATTTTATTGATTCATATATATCACTTTTTAAATCAATATCTTCAAGTAAATATTTCTGACTGCGATCTGAACGCTTTGGATGTGAAATAAGAATTAGACCTGGTAGAAATATGGTGGGATAGACGTATCACCCAAACGCTGCAAATAAGCCGACGAAAACAATTGATTTAGGCTTCAAATATAAATCGTCAAATGGGTTGTCTAGGAAGATAGGACTGATGGTATCATAACATTACAGTATCACGTGATATGCACTCCTATACTGTAAAGTGATTAATGAAGTGATTAATGACATACCAGTTATGTTGATTGATCTCACTCTCTGATATATAACGATGGTAACATGAATGGAATGAGTCGTTTGTGTTTTTTTTTCAATTGTTTTATGAAATTAAAACCTACAAGATCTCAGTAATATGTCTGTAATATTACTTATAGCAATTAGATCTTCGTAATCCCTCAATAATCATGTGATTCACATTTGGCCATCCGTTTGGGAAATCCCATTGTTGCTTCGTTCCTTTGATCAAACTAAAGATTTCACCAATGGTTTTAATTTATAAACATAGATTTCATTAAAATTATTTCATCATCAATTGGTTTGACATTTTTAAGGTGTTGATCTTCATTTCATATTTCGATATTCTAAGTTATTCACTAATTTTTTCCAGAAATGCATCGATGGATAAGATAGATGGATTAGTTATGATGAAGAAGAATTAAATTTTTTTAATCGGGATCACAATTTAATTTATACCTAGCAGGAACTCCAAAGGGGAAGTTCAGAATTCCACTGCGTTGTAATGTCTTGAGTACATCAGTTACCATTCGTGTGTCCAACCGATGATAGCATTCAGCAAATAGTGGTATTGCAGTGGAAGAATATGTTTCGTAGTTCCGCTTACCAGTTTTTATATTCACATCAAACCATACTTTTTCCTTTTTGTCATAAAATACCTCAGTAAATGTGTCTATGAAAGCATGTCGTTCTTTGTTTAATTCATTTTGACGTGTTAGATTTCCTACAAAATATTTGAAATTAATGTTTGACAAATGATTTTGAATATTTTGCTCCCATTGTATGTGTTTTGACGCTTATTGACTTTCTTTTGCCTACAATTTTCAAGTTTGAAGTTTAAGTCTTCCATATATCAATTTTTGGTAAAATTAGTGGGAGATGGTCGTAGAAATCTCAAGATATCTCAATGCATGTTGTATGAAAGAATTCACTAAAATATTTCAAAATTTAAGTGGTGATCTCCAAAACATTTCTGTGAATACTATTTTATATCCTTAAATAAGCATTCGAAGTTTCTTTTGGTTTTGTATTTTAAAAAGCAATCTTTGACTCATGCTTAAATTTTATCGAGTTTTAAACTCCAATGAATCATACTTTAAGTATCCCAGAAAAACGAACCAAGATGACCATGTATATGTGCCAGTATAGCCATATTCCAGCACATAAATGCATTCAAATCAACCGGTGCTATGCTTGATGTTTCGCAAGTTTCCAATGTTTTTCGATCAGTAAACCAACGGCTACTGAAATCCCATCCTGATTCAGCTGCGCTTGCTATATTACGCCACAGAACATGCTTTTTTGGTGACAGTACATGCTGAGCTGTTACATAGTCCTCGAGATATGATTCCGATCTGGAAGGAGCTCAGAAGTTCAACTTATGCCATGTTTTCCTCATGTGATAATTTTCAATTCCTGATCCATAAGAATGACGAAGGTTTTACGTTTGTAAAATTAATAAATTAATTGATATCATTTGTGATTTCGTGAAGAGGCATAGTGATTAGAAATGACACTATGGATGGTGGATCTTCTGTGTTCACCGAATGTTTTATATATTTTTAATTTAGAACAAATTTGTTTAGTTAGTCATCTAAAGAACTGCAAATTGAATGAAATAATAACAAATATATTATGAACTATTTTCATAATACTATTCAAGTAAAAATATATCTGTTAATAATATAGCAAATTAAACAAGTAAATAAGTGATATTTGAAATAGAAATGATTATTCACAAATATGTAATTTGTCAGATGACAGAATAAAGCTCATAAGTGATGAGGGAATGGTAAGATGCAAAGAAACTGTCATGATAGTCATCTAAGAAACTATGCAGTTCTTTAGGTGATTATTTATAAATTATATAATAGTTCTTGAAATTACCTTGGTACGTTACTATCAGCTCGGTAATGAAATACTGTATGGTTTCGACCATTCTTTTCTAAGGTTATAGTGCGTTTCGTCTTCCAAAAGAATAGTTCCTAAAGTTATTGATAGGATTTTACATATTCTTCAGTAATGTTTAGGTTTTCTTATGTAAAACAATCAGCAACTACTATTTTATTCGATGTATTATTTGAGTATTTTTCTGTTAAATGCGAAAGTGGTTTTTGAGGGAATCTGTGAGCACGGCCTTTCACATCTTTATAAGTATTTTAACCATTCAATTCAAATGTTACTGTATATCTATAAAATTTGCATAATTTTAATTATGAATTAGGTTTGCCTTTTCCATAGTTTCAATTACTGAGATTAAGAAATCGTCGTTCTTTGTGGCTGCGTAATATTCGTAAACCATTGGAATAAATAGTGGTGGTTGTGATCGGCGTAAATAATAGATTCGTCCACCATTCGGAACAAAACCATAATTATTTATAAGATAAGCGAAATTCTTAATTATTTGACGAGTAGTGTTTTGCATACCTGAGAGTGGAGTAAAAATATCGAATGCGTTTTATACATTCAATATTAAGTAATAAAATTTAGTTCAAGTTATAATTTACACAGAATTTATGTTTCGGAATTTATCATAGCATAGAGTACATTGAATGAAAAGTTATGTATGTATGAGGCGTTAAGCGTAATTTCTAATTTCGCTTCACTGATTTAGATTCTGCGAAAATAAGTTCTCTTTTATACTGTCGCAAAAATATGGGGATAAAGCACCGAAGTTATCGTTAAAATTGAGATCGAATAGAAGCATTGTGTAAACATCTTAAAAACAATTTACTAATAATTGAAAGTTATCGGCTTATCTGATGCCAGAAGTCCTTTGATGATCCAATAACTATCCCAATAGTAGTATTCACGGAAGCGTCCACCCGGTACGATGAATTCATTCGGTACGTAAATTAGCGAATGCCGTTGTGGTTTTTCTTTAACCTATAAAGTGACTTTGTCTTTGATGGAATAAGTAAAGTGTTATGCCATACTTTACTTACTCCATCAATCCTCAAGGCATCTGATAAATGGGTGTAAAGGTCGAACAAAATGATAAAGTGTTAAAAATTTGCGTCAACTATATCACCATTGAATTAATTAAGCAACTGGAAGTGTTTGTAACTTCTAATTATTCCATCTATCGATGTCATCTATATTCCATCTATGTCTGGCAGAGGGATTGAGTTAAATAGATTGTTTTTATGTGTTTAGGGAAAAACAAATTTTGAGATTTTCATTATTATTTTCATTAATTGTCTTCTAAACAGTATTTGAGAATTTTAAAGTAATTCTTAAAATTTACGGAAAATATAACAGTTGTTGAAAAAAAGGACGCACCATTATTTTGTATTTTTAGTTTGATCTCTATTAGTGAAATTTCGGTTCATCATATGAAGAATAAAAGGATCTGATAAATTTTTTTTCAGATTTTGAGCTATTGATTATTTTCCATGCTTTTTTAAAAATAACTTGCTTCTTCTTTGACAGTTCTACATAGACTTTTCCATATATAATTAATTTGAAGTGCAAACTGTCGTAAAGCATTATTTTCGATAGTAAGCAGTTGTTCAGGTTCTTCTTTCCAATCTGACAATTCGCACCTTAAAAATATTCGAAATTTAACTGACAATTTTGGACAAAATGAGCATTTTAAAAATTTGGAATTTTCTAACGTGAAGAAGAAATATAAATTGAAAATCTGGAAGGAAAAAAGTTTTTTTTTGATTGCATATTCTTCGGTGTCAGTGTAATGAAATAGTGAACTGTTTACTCCTCAAGCTCTTCTCCTTCGACACCAAAATTATCCTCAATGAATTGTTCCACCTCTTCACGATCCTCTTCTGTGATTGCTTTTGAGAAGCGTCTTTGAAAATCGGCGATCACCTCATCTGGATCCTTTTTCAGTGGTTTATCAATAAATGTTTTGGAATCCTTGTAGAGACCTAGCATCATTACCACATGTAGTATATCTCCGTGACAATAAATTTCTGCTGCTTCTGAATGATTTCTATTACAGGTAAATTCTGGAGTTTGAAATTCTGGACTTAGAATATCATCCTGATTCATGATTTTTTGCTTTCTAGTCTTATCAGCACCAGTTGTTGCCATCATTTCAAGTTGTTCGAGAAGTGTATTTGTTGTTATCGCATCATTTCTTGTAATATTGTTTGTTCGCCGTTTTATACGTTTCAGAACATCATATCTATCGAGGAATAATTTCCCATTACGTTCACTGTCAGTGATGAATAGCTGTGTGAAGAGGATACAAGATAATTTGAACAGTGATAAATGCATTTAACCTAAAATTAATTTTCAATAAGTATCATTTCATCAAATATGGAAAGTATTTTAGTGGAAAATTTTGAATGACAAATAGATTATCCGAATGCAAAATGAGGTATAATTAATGACGAAATTACTTTCTACTCAACATTTCATTGATATGAAACGATCAATGATTTTGACTATTACTATTTGATGATAGTATTTTATGATGTTGACGTGAAGTTGTTTTTCCCATTTTATTACACTATGATTTATTTCTAATCATACCACGAATTCCTGTTTCAAAAACAAGAAATAAAAAAACTCTTTGGAGAAGTGATACGAAAAAGAAAATGATTAAAATAAAAGAAGTTTAATGAGAATACGAAATAATTTAAGAGAATCTTTTTTTGGTACGATAAGCGAACAGTGTGAAATGATTTCTTTTTTTAAAATTTCATGTTTCAAACTTTAACATAATGCAATTACATGAAAATAAAAGAAACATACCTTATGCATAATAGCTTGAACTTAATTTATGAAAAATATAAAATTACGATTGTTTTTATAAAATTAAGATGAGTTTAAAATAATAAATAATATATATGCTTCATCAACATGTTATCACAGTCTTATAGATATGGTGGAGAATTTTTTTTTCTTTTTGTTTTTTAAAAAGAAAGAGTAAGTTGTCGATTGAAAGAGGGAAGAAAGAAAGAAAATCAACATTCGTGTTGAAATGAATGGAGTATTTATTGGTTTTGGTTAGATGTCAATAATTTATCGCTGATATCTATTAATGTTTTGTAGTATCGTGAAAACAATAAATGCGGTAAAAATCAAACAAGCATAGATTTTGATATGAAGTTTAGCTAAATTCAAAGTAAACTCTTCCTTAAGGTAATTTGAATTCAAGTAAAATTACTGAACAACTATTGGAATGTTATTGCTCTTCTATTGTTTTTATTATAGTTGCAGTTCCAAAAGTTAAACGAATGTTAAGAAGTTGAAATGGAGCAGGAAGCATTAGATGAAAATATCGTACTCTTTTTCCTCCTCTTTTATCATTTGTTTATTCTTTAAAATTATTAGATATGGTATTGATGTTGACTGATAGATTTAACAAGTTTGTTGTTATAAGGCATATTTTCTTCAAATATGCATTATAGCGACATCAATGTACAAATATATTCCTCACATTAAAAATGAGAACAAAAGATGATTATTAGATTTATCTAATTTAAAAAAGAAATTATCGATTAAAAAATGAAAGTATGGCAATAGTATACTTATAGTTAATAGTAAATAATTGCCAAAGTAATCTTTTTTTCATCATGAGTGAGTAATTTTTTGATTTTATATTTCTATTAATCCTATGGTAACAAGTTTATTATGAAGTACAAAGAAACAAAGTTTGAATTCGGATGAAATTTAACAGCTTGGTGATTTTAACTTTGGTATATATATTATTTTTTCATTCCTCATTACTTATTTCGCAAAGTTATGCTTTCTAAAAATAAATCAATAATGTTAATAGAACGTAATATTAGTCTAAATCATTTTGTTTTTAGCGAATGAAGAAAAAAATAATAAATGCTACAACCAGTGAAATACACTAATCTTTATGACTAATTAATTAATTACTTAAAAAGCAAATTAAGCAATTGTTACTCCAATTATTAAAATAATCATTGAAAAATAGAAAATTCTCGACTAATTAATGATAAACTGTTTAATTTTAAGTTAAATATAAATATTTACCGAATTTTTTTGCGAAAATGAGTACTGATAATTTTAAAAATCAGATAAGATTGCTATTTTTGAAAGTTGTCAAAAAATTATGTCTTCACAATTTCTGTCCTTATTTTCGCAAATAAAATTTGATAAATTGATTGTGTGCAAAAGTATTTCTATGTAAATCGGTTATGGGTTTATTCTTTTTATTTGTGTTTATCAGTTCTTAAAGCTTACCCAATTATTAAGTATTTTTGTTTTGATCATTAAATCATCATTAATAATCTGGTTATGTTTCTTGTAATTGTTTTACACATATGTTTATATTACTATCCAAATAATCCATATACAATAAGCACATCTTTGGATATCTTACTTATTGGCTAAACTAGACCTATCGCTTCATTTGGCCTCAGTTATCTCGTTACATTTCTTCATACAAAAGTATTCAATGTAATATTTATTGAGAGATGACTGACTTGTTAATACATTAATTTTATAATTTTTTTTCAAGAGTTTTTTTAAATATTATCGCATAGCAATTGTTGATGAATAGCACTGGGATAATATACGAAACAGAAAAGAGGAATTTAGTTGAATGATAAAAGCAATTGTGTATTTTTTGCAATAAAATTATCTCTGTATGAAATGATACCTTCTATGTATCATTTCAGCTTCTAATGAAATTATGAAACTATTTTAAGATTGAGCAAAAAATAGAGCAAACTTAGGGACTGAATATATTAATGTATTGTTTTGTGCAAGCAAGATTCTTTGAATATCATTATTTGTCAAGCAGTATATGATAACCTTTTGTCTATTCGGCTATAAGAGAGACAGGCAAGAGTATTAATGTGTATTGTTCATTGAAAGAAATCCTTGATCATTCCTCTACCACTTGATTTAAATTGGGACAAATATTTAATGATATTTTGATATTGAATAAAGGTAGCTAAATCAAATAGTTCTTATTATCATAATCTAGATGAAGTCTCTAAATGGATAATTATTCATCATGTGAGATACTGCGATTATTCACTATATATATCTCAGTGCTTATTCACACCGATCATTCGTTTGTATTAATCACATAATTTTTAAAGCCTGATGAATCAATTTTTATTTGCTGTTTTTTTTGTTATCTGTTTATTCTTAATTCCAAGAAAAGGTTGCCGTTTTATTTTCAGGTGTAACGGAACATTTTGGCATCAATGTAGCTGATTGTGATATGATTGTGGGCTCTCTAGAGCATGCACTTTCAAGTACTGGTGGTTTTTGCGCTGGACGAACATTTGTGGTCTATCATCAACGTTTATGCGGTATGCCATTATAATCAAAGTTTAAATTCCCTAAAAAATATAGATTATGGTTTTTCATATATTCCATCCCGGAATTTATCCCCTTTTGTTCTTGGAAATTGTTTTGGCGTCTGATATGGTGTTCGTCGAATGTAGCAGAACTAAATTCTTTCTCCATGAATCACATTTTTTTTATTAGTTTCTTTCCAAGCTTTGCTATGAACAAATGATTTGGATTAAAATAAAAATGGCAAGATTAGCGATTTAAGTAAAAAAATATTGTATTGTTTATCTATTCCAAACTTATCACTGTATTTTATTATTCATTTACTTAAAATAGCTGCATATTAATGCATTATTTGTTCATTTAAGTAATGGATTCACTCGTTTTATCATTGTAATTATTTATTTAATTTACTTATGCGATTAATCAGAGTGGAATTGTTATATCTGTTCCTTTTTTGCATTTAATCTCTAACGTAAATTCCTCCACTCGTTAAGATTTACTTCGTTCGATATCAGATTATTGAATGCTTCATGTTACTACCCTGCGATATATGTTTAAAAAATTGGGGACTGATTTTGCAGTGAAAGGATTTGTTAATGGGATTAATATCATTTATAGTATACAGCGTCTCATATAGTTTAATCATTTGTCATTTTTAGTCTATCACTCTCTCTCTCTCTATTTTTGCATGAAATTTACTTTTTCAATTGAAACGCCATAGCATAATATACGATAATTATTCAATGTGAAATCTCTTCGACGCTACAATTACTTTTACAAACAGAGAATATAATATTTGTCAAATTGAAATGGACTATATTTTCAAGGTTGTGCAAAATATGAAGTTGTTCAGTATGTTTTTTAATTTTACGCAAAGCAATGTATTTTTCGAACAAATATTGTTTATAAGACAATGTATATTTTTTAGGTTTGGGTTACTGTTTCTCAGCATCATTGCCTCCTCTGCTAGCAGTCGCTGCAAGTTCGTTTTTTCAATCTTTTTTATATTTTGAAAATTACTATATGTAAGTTAAATCAGATTCGGAAAATCCTATTCAACTATTTAGGTGACTTAACATGAAATTAGGACCTTATGTATGTGAAGATTTATTTTTCATCTGAAACAAAAGTAGAAAATAAAAATGTAAAAAGCAAGTTGTATGATATTTATACGTCTTCTTTAAGGAACTGTTGTGCAGTTTTTCTTCGGTTTAATGTCTTCGTTTACTGTTTTCTTGCAGTCAATTAGTTGAAAAATGCCTTTATAAAGTGTAAAAGCATTCAACTCCATCCTCATTAATTTTAGTTTTCATATTTACCGTAGCTTGTACTATAGCAATAATACCCATTTCAATCAAATTTCTTACTAAGAAAAGATGAACTCAAAAACTTGGAGATGTTTTTTGAACCCAATTTAACTGAATCATCATCAGCTGTCAGTCGATCGAAAGAACTTCATGATTTTAGCGTTCAAAAGATTGAAATTTGACTATATCTGACATATATTTGCATCCAAAATACCTTGAATAAAATGGGAAGATAGGGATGAATTTACGATTTATATTCCGGCATAATTTGTAAGATGGAACAGTAGAAATTCTTTTGATTTTACCATTAATGTGAAGAAATTCAATTAATGAGGATTAAGGAGCAGAGCTTATCATGACAAGTCAGTTTTTAAAGGGCACGATAGTAGTATAATTGGAATTGTTCTATGTACCAATCGATCTTTTAAAGAAAACGAGATGAAGTCAAAATTTAAATAAATTCTAAAAATGAATTCAAAATTATGACACGAAAATTATGTCCAAAAAAATTTCTCTTTTGAAGTAAAATATTTTTCAGATAAAGGCCTTGACATTATCAGCAATGATCCAGAGCGTCTAGTACGTCTTCGTCAAAACTCTAAAATAGTCAGTGTTGGATTAAAAGAAGCTTTTGAAGGTACATGCTTTACGGTAAACGGTTATACCCTGAGTCCCCTGCAGCATGTCTATTATGAAGGAAATAATGCTGATGAAAAATTGAATGCACTAGTGGAAAAGGTAAGTTTACAAAAAAAAGTGTTTCTCTAATGATGTAAATTAATTCATATTCATGAAGGTGTCGTAGGAACCAGGAAGAATGTTTTTAAGAAAGAAGTTTCTTGGTCTTGTTATCAGTTTTGACGAAATTTATTGAAAATTTCAATTGTTTTTTAGATGCGTGAAAGAGGCTACTTGCTAGCTCGCGCTTTTTATCATCCAGCAGAATCATTTACTCCCAAATCAAGGTAGGTTATTACTACTTTGAAAGCAGGGAATTCAAAGTTTTGCAACTAAGCAGTGTCATGAAATTGATGCAAGTTTCAGTACAGCCTTCGACGTCTCATTCCATGTAATTCTAATATTACCATAATACCATAATTATCAGAATACCGTAACTGCTAGATATTCAGTGTAGTTAATACATGTCTATTGATGAGACTTCTTATGCACTATTACTAAGCCTTTATTGTATATGACATCAGTTCGACGGTCCTTCTAGTTAGGTGATTGTTCTTAGAGAATCACTTAGTATATTCTAATTTTTTCCAGTATACGACTGTCGATACAATCGGAAATGTCGCATGATGAACTAACGGCATTCATTGAGGCAGTAAAAGAAGAAGCTCAACAAGTTAATACGCTTTAAATGTTGAAATTCCCTATTGTCAAATTTGTGATGAATATTTTATCAGAAAGCGTTTCACAGACCTCAGAAAATATACAATTGAAAATTTAATAGTAATTCCTATTTGGAATATTGTGGACGGACGACATTATAAGAGTTGTTGTTTATCATCCTGAGCTCGTCCAACTATGTGCAAAACGTTTAGCAATAAATTTGCATTTGAATTCAAAAGGATCTTTAATATGAACTGAAATGCGATGTGGATACATTGCATAACAGCCGTATTTTCAGCCTCTGTAATTCAACTGTCTCTTTAGTTTCTTGTACAAATTATTTTATTGCATCTGTGTCAAAAATACGTGTACAAAATATATGAAGCATTTCAGGTTTTTTTAATACTCATATCGCCTTACCAAGAAATTATTTATACTTAGAGACGAACTCTCTTGACAGGTAAAGATGTACGTCCGAGAATAATATCTTTCCCTTTTCGCTACGACCATTACCAAAAAACTTGATGTAATTTATCCTGATCATTTTTTTCCTGCCACCAATGTATTATTTATAAAAAGGGGAAATTGAATTTTTTTTTAATTAAAATATGGATAAAAAGTATGAATACTATACTAAACATTATAATGTAACGCTATTTTTTCGCATCTTGAAAATCATTTGAATGAATGTAAGAGTGAAGGACTACTATACAAAACGCTTGATAGATGGATACAAGAGAAAGTTGTGAAAGTGATGAATGAATTATGACTATAAGTGGTTAGAAGCTCTGGAATTTCATCACTTTTCGATTTCTTTTCGAAGTTTTATGTCTTAAACAGTCAGATGAAAGTTGGATGACTGAACTGGAATGAGTTTAGTAATGTTAGTAAAATTTAGGTATCAGAGCTTTCTGGGTGGGATGCTCACGAAAATGTCTTCGATACCAACTTTGATTCAATAAAGCAGCGATAGTCTGATTTACGGTTACAAATAAAAAACATAACAGCATAGGTATCGATAATTGGTAAATCAATGCAAATAAGAAATAAATTATGATTTCAAGGAAATAGTGAGGTGACAAACAGTACTCGAAAAGGCCGCCATGTGGTACTACATACACATTGTTCGCACTTAATCCTGAAATTTATGGCACATAATTTCATAGTTGCTGTAATTTCATCCTGTAACTTGCAATTTTGCATTTGTAATAGATTTGGACATGCATAAACATATGCAAGAAATTCGGCAACTCTTTCTGTTTCAATTTTAAGCTTAATTATTTTACAATTCAAAGCTTCTTAGCTCTTACTGCTTGATCCTCTGTCCTTTACTTATTTTTATTTACTTATTAATTTATTTAACTCTGCTTTTTTAACACTATTTTCTCCATTTTAAATAATAAAAATAAAGTTTACATTATTTTCATAAGTAGTATTCTCTGCGATACTGAAAGGACTTCGAATAAAAAGCCCTTTTCTTTTTGCTTCCCGCGGAGATTTAGCTCTATTAAACTCTCTTAATTTCATGCAAATTAAACAGACTAACCATTACGCAAGCGCAGTTGAGCAAGTAAGACGAAGCAATGATGTTGTTGTATCTGAACCACAAGTATAGCAATGGTCAATATCATATAAAGTAATATTGATGAAATATTTATTTCTGCAATTAGAATAAGTAAAGCGAGACAAGTTGATCACTTTAAAACTTTTTTAAAATTAAAAAAAATCTGTAACGAAGAAGTTACCTGCTTTCTTGTCTAACGTAAACGATGAAAGTTGTGAGCAAACACAAAATGGATAGAAAGTGATTCCTAAAAGAAAATGCAAAATATTCATGTTGGAATCGGAGAAGATCGAGACGTAAAGACACTCATATAGACGACGTAATACGTGTATTAGATAAAGCAAAAGGCCCACTGATATAAAAACAAGGTTACCTGAAAATTTTTTGAACAGAAATTATACAGATTTTTGTAAATTATTCTTTTTATACACTTTCACGTTTTTCGCCTGCTAAACTTACTCAGAGAGATTAGTTTAACTATACCGAAAAATTGATTTCTAAAAATCACTCAGCTATTTACTACTTTCGCAACCAAATTGAGAGTTATATTTAAAAAGACTAAAAAATCACAATCACATTTTAAGCATACCATTATATTGTAGTTGGCCGCCAATAACATCAATAAAAGCAAACAGAACAGCGACGAAAGCGATTAAGTAAAAAATCCAAAACATCCTTAAGCAAATTATCGAAAAAAGATTGAAATGGCTCAGAATTAGATTTGAAAAGTCTTTATTAATTCTGTAATTCTGCATTTCATTTCTGTATTATAAAAATTCTGTCTAAAAAAAAAAACCTTTTCGGTACTTCGATCATCCTCAACCAAGTTTTGAAAATGTGATCTTTTCTAAACTTACCGAAACAAACTAGGCCCATAATTGTTTCTGCAAACAAAGACCAAAAATATTTATGAATTTTAAATGATTAAAAGTAACATTAAAGTTAAAATTTTCAGCAAAAATATTTAATAATGAACACACTGTATTTATATATATGTATATATATATATATACTGAAAATTTAATGTTAACTCTAATAAACTGAAGAACATCCAATTTTTAAAAACTTTAAATGCCACCTTATGACAGTTTCGAAGCAAATTCGTGCTGATTAGCATATATATATAATCTCTATTTCAATAAAAAAAAATCAATTTTACCTGATTTTCCAGTTTTTCCTATAGCTAATAATCCAAGGATATAAATGACCGTAGTACATGCTAACCAGTATGCAACGCATATCTGATATAAACTGAGGGGCATCTGAAAATTTAAAAAAAGTTTAAATTCCACCCTTACAACACCTTCGAAGTAGATTTATTTTTAAACATATGTTGCTTCTCTACTAATAATCTAATAATAATAATTATGATGATAGTGTCTGATAATATTATAGTTAAGACTATCATAACAATGATAATGCATTAAAAGCCTTGCAATTATTCATCAGTATCATTGGGATAAATCGATATTCCCACTGCATTATTATTACTTTTAAGGCTTTTATTAAAATATTTTCGTATAAATAAATTAAAAAATGAACAATCAGCAGCCCCTTTTTTCTCAAAGGTAAATATTTTTCTTCCTTTTACAATTTACGCTGAAAAAATTTATTATACCGAATGAATCTAATCTGTATTATAACTATTATCTTTAATTATTTATATCACTCCCATAATACAATAGCAAGTATTGTTATTATCATCATTTGCTGCTGCGATTAATATCATTGCTATTGATATAATTATTATTATTATCGTCATTATATTGTTATCATTATCAACATTGAGTATATTATTTATTTTCATCAGTCCTCACTTCTCTTTTTTTATTCCTCTCTTTTTATGTGTGTTTTTCGTTAGTAGTATTAAAAGTCCTCTTTTTCAACTTTCAACTTGTAAATTGATTTTGTTGTGCAACGCTTACCGATTCGATAGATATACATATACACAGACAAACAAATACACACACATACACATACACACATATATATATCGATTATCGTTATAGGTTGGGAAGGATGGAACAGTTGAAAATCGAGTATCAATACCGAGCTAGCCAGTCTCTTTCCTTTTCTTTTCAGGTTATTGATAATTCGATTGCCATTCATTTGCAAATATGGATAATCAATAGGCAACGAACAGAATTCCAATTCTTGTCAATTAAAAGACATTTTCCTATACTTCACTACCCTACTACTATTTCCAATATATCATTTCGATTTTTCGAATAATCCATATATCGACCAGGCATCGATTTTCAATTTTACTAGTAGCTAAGAATAGCCTTGTCTTATTGGCCTTATAATTCGTCATGAAAAGTATACATTTCCTCCCCCTTTCCTTGTCTTCTCTCCCTCTTTCCCTCTAAAATAGAGAACTTTTCAGTGAAAATAAGTAAGACTTTTTCTGACAGCTATACTCTTTCTTAGATTATCAATGATTAGCATTAAATATATTTTGCATAGATTATAAATGAAAAATATTGATGGTGACAATGACCCTGTAATAGTTACACTGCTATCAATAATATGAAACAACACGTAATTAATAAATAACTTTACAATTCGTTTCCAATTTTCTGCTTTCACTTTCATAATCAGCAATTTTCTGCAATGCATACTTTTATCAAGTATGCATTGCTTAAAAAAGTCATCTTTCGTTAATTTGGCAATGAGAAGCAACTATATGAGAACGAGCGGCAGGAGATACCGATCTCATTTACCTCAATTCTGAATGTCTTTCTGGTATAACAATCTCTTTTGATGCATCACTGGACACCGAATATCCAATAAAACAACCCGACCTTGGAGTTTGTTGTAGCGTAGAAGGACATGATTTGAAATGTCCAATACCAATGGGATATTATTCCAAGAAACTTCAAGTTAAGCAAAATACCGCATTACCATCCACAGGATACTGAAACGTATGACCAATAGTAGCATTAAGACTGCTGCATTGACATTCAACAGTTTATGGGGTAAATCAGCAACCTTAACCAAGTCGAGGATTCGTAATGATAAATTTGAATGCCCTGAAACACTGAAATGTAGAACTTAATAACTATAGTAACCAAAAATCTAAACTGTATTCACTACTATCAATAAATGAAGACATTCAATCGATATCTAAAGATCACAGAAAACAAATCAAATAAAATACTCTCAGGAGTAGGAAAATCCATTTATGCTTCATAAAATAAATGAGAGACTAGTGATACATTCCAGACAAATTTAAGCTCGACTACCTTCCTCACGCTTATTATTTAGAGTTAAGACTAAAAAAGGGGAAAAACAGCAGTTAAGAGCATAGAAATAGAAATGGTTTATTAAATTACAAATTTTATAAAATTTTCATTACGAAGACGCTAACAAACGAAAAAAGAAACAGACTACGAAGAAATGCTAAAGGAGACAGGACTCGAAGTAAATCATTGAATAGTTCAGCTCACTTTTCAACTTTTGAAAAGATATCAATAATCGAACATGACCTTAAATAATGAAGATATATAACAACAATAATTGCAGCATAAACAATATAATTCCCAACAAATGATATTTTATTTAGAAAAGGAGGACCTAACGTCAACTTCTTTCCTTTCATGAACGAGGAAATAATTATTTTTATTACCTTATCATTGAAGCAGGAAAGTCCGCGAAAAGAATGAAATAACGCTCAAATTTAACTAATATAATCGGTAAGAAAACACAAATATTCAACACAAATGAAGGCATAATTAACTTTGTAACTGTGTTTTCAAGTTTAATATTGTTTCCAACTCCATAGCAATATTCGGATTTTTTCCTTTTCCTGAAGCCTCTTTGTAAATATTTATCAACTTTTCAGTGGCCATTAATCCACTCTGTACTATTTCTTTTTTCCTTTGACCACTGCTTTTTGATGATAAATTTATGCAACACTGAAATAATTCAAGTATGACGAAAATATTTTAATGGAATAATATTACATGCTTCACAAATACATTTCTTTCGACCTCGTATTTTTCTCAAACTTATTCCAAATTACCAAGCAAAATATGAACAGATTTGACGAACAGTGAGATTAGAAACACCTTCGTTAACTGCTTAAAAACGTGTAAATCCAGCAATTTTCATCTCTTTTTAAAAATGGAATATAATATTTTTATTCATTATGAAATGAACAATAACTAATTTCATTAAATTATAAGTTATGCATTATTCATATCCACTCCACACTGGAAATTTGATATAATATTTTTATTTATTATGAAATGAACAATAACTAATTTCATTAAATTATAAGTTATGCATTATTCATATCCACTCCACACTGGAAATTTGAGCAAGACTCACCAAAATTATTCCATATAATGAACGAGAACATGATGGATTAGTTCGAACGGCTTGTTCAAAATATGATTTCGCAAGTTCAATATTTTCTAAACCACCCTGCGTATAACGTATTTCTGCAAGCCGTCGCAAATATAAACTATTATGTGGCTGAAACAAAAACAGATGCACAACAAGGAAATGTCATAAGTAGACTGTTTTCAGAATATTTGAGAAAAAAAACAAATAAAATTCCAAAACTTAACCTTAACGTTACAAGGATTTTTCGAAACAAGTTTCTCACATCCAGGGTCTTTTTGATACTGAAACCAGTTTTAAAAAACTAAATAAACTAACACTAGATAAGACAAGTTCCTCTATGCAATGTGCCGCATGTGGATAATCACCTTCTTGTAAATGCAAATTAGAAAGCTCTAGCCACGCTTCCGAATCAGAAATAAAAGTTTTCAAATATTCGTTTAATTCTCGGATTGCTTCCTGTCGATTACCTTGTGCTTTCAGAATTGCAATTCTTCGCTTGCGATATGACTGCAAAAAACCCGAATTAGTGAATCAGTGAAAAGAAAATAAGCGCATTATTGTTCTATAACTTTCATGCAAATCATTTGCTATTTTCTTATATTATAACTCGAAGATGGGTCAAAAAATCAATCGTACATTCTGACTACATTTACAGCTGAAAACATTTTGAACAAAAATTTAATGGAGTTCCTTCCTTTCATTTTAAAATGAAAGGAAACCTTACCATATTTGTTGGATCTGATTCAATAAGCTGTTCATACAAACGCGTAGCGCTATCATACCTACATCAGGTAATTCAAGAATTATGAAAAAGAAATGAGCAAAAGTTTTGAAAAAATGGACAAAATAATCAAATATATTAAAAATTTTCTACTTGGAATTATCGAAGTTGTATAACAGAGAAATTAATGGTAACTAAAAGCACTTATTTTAAAACCTGACATATAAGAGTCCATTTTTAAGAACGACTCACTTGCCCATTGTCTTTTGCTTCTTTGAATAGAAAAATAGATTTTTCATACTAGGAAAAGACTTACTATCGAACTACGAAAAAAGGCTTATTACCTCAAACCATATCATAGAAATCCCTGTCTATATTTAAGAAGGAAACTGTAGAAAGAGGCTTAATTGCAAATTCAAGGTATATCATTCCTTAGAAATCACTGCTTACTAACTTTACTGAGGACCTTTCTATCAGTCGCCGATTGTGTTGAAAGAATCAGAAAAAACTCGTAAAATACAAAACATTACCGTTTTAAGGCTTCGAGACGCATTGCTTGCAGTTTCAAGACACGATTACTTCGTGGAAACTTTTCTTGCAGTGCTTGTATACATTCCATTACAACATCAGTTCTGACTAAATCTAACGCAGCTATGCAAACCTGAAATTAAAACATATTTTATCACAAACCATTAAGGCAAATTCTCCGTCCTACTCATATTTACATTTGAAGTATCACTTTTTTCGATCGGAAGTACTGAAAACTTTTCAAAGTATGAACAGCGCTTCAATTATATTTGCGAACTCATTGTTATTTTGTAATTTAGTGATCTAACGAGTCTACGTCATTTATAGTAATTGCTCTCTCTTTTCTATATTTGCACCCATTGTTACGAGTGCAAAAAAATTTACACTTTTGAGAACATACTGTTTCTTACAATATGATTATTAATAACGTTAGTCGAACTTTTGATTCATATTTTTCTAAATAAAACATTTGAAATTACGATTCATTTGAGCGAAAACCCCGACATAAGAAAGTAATCCGTTTTTATTTAAAGAACTTACAATATCATGGAAGAAAGAATTCTGGCTTTCTTACATACAATGTATTATGGCATATCTATATCTAAGCACTTCAAATTATACCGTGCGATATGATAAAGTAATGCAGTGATTATTACTGATTAAAATTTAAAAGATTCAGTTTAACATATAAATCGTGACAGTTTTAGTAACATCAAAAGTTTAATTTAAATAATACGTTAAATTAAATATCAAATGTACGATGAAATTAGTTTCACCTGTTCATAAACAAGCCATAATTCATCGCCCAGCGAATGAGGATGACGACTTAAAACATGCTCCCATAATTCCACTGCTTCCACTGATCTACGAGCATGCTCTTCACGCCATTTACGTAGTACATATTTTGCTTCTAAAAAGTAATTAATTTTTTTATAAAAAAACCCGAACACTTCTTATCCAATTTTAATTCTGTTAGAAATCAAACTTCTTTCAATTAAAATTGAGTTTACAATAAAACCCACCATCAAATGAAACACAAGTCCAGTCAGTCATCGCTAAACGTCTTAATTTTTCACCAAATAAACTTGAAATGTTACGAAGTCTACGTTACGATCTGGAACTCTTCATATCGCCGTCATTAACTGCAATGTCACCATGTATAAAATTGTAGCAGATTATGAAAAAATATATATCATAAAAAACGAATTTTTTGCTTTATACTCTGTGAAACCAGTGCCAATATTCAGTAAAATCATAAATTTTAAATTTGATCATCAATTTGAACTTGAACAAAATGTTGTGTCCTATTCCAAATCATTTGAAAGCATATCTTTCTGAATTTTTTTCCTGTTATTTTCATGTGATCAACACCCGAAAAATTCATAATTAAACTTCGAAAAGAAATTCAGCATATCACCAATGATGTTATTCCACTTAATTCATTTATTAAATGAACCAAAATCTACTGGCATAAAAAATGTCGAAAACTATTAATTTACGGTAATGTTATTATTGGTACTCTTCCAACACTAAATATCAACTAACGCGTAGCTGATCAACCTTTTAAAATATATGAGAACTGTACATGACGGTTCCAAATATAAAACTATTCTTATAACCAATAATCTTCATCAGTAAACAACAAATGCATTTGACATGTGCGATTGGTTTCTAGATCATTCAGAAAAAATTAAAAACCCTGAACAATATAGCAAATTGTTAATAAGTAAATGAATTCAAACAAAGAACAAAACAAAGCGACTGTTTATGAAAGCAAAAAATAAAAATAAAACTTCGAGCAAGTAAGTAATCATTTTGTTCACAATTAAAAGCTTTAACAAGAAGACCATACTTTCAGCATCTGCAGTGATAAATCAAAACTAATAAATTATGCAACGGTCTAATGTATTGAATTAAATAAGGTTTAAATAGCTGAAACAATTAATATTAAGACACAAAAAACCAAGGGTAACAATCTGAACTAATAACTCAGTTATTCAAAAAAAGTAATCACATGAAAGAGACAAAGCACCAACCAATGGGTAAAACACAAATATATGTCTCAATCTTTAAACAGAGAAATTATTTAGATATGAACTTATTTTCAGATTGAATATAATAATAAGTGAAAATTGAGCTTTCTAAAACATAAAAGTAAAATAGCCAAGGGGATACAGAGGTAGTTAAAGAACAAATGAAGAAAATGAACTACGCTTATTTCAGATCAATTTCAAGCACGTTCAATCCATCGATGGATATCTCCATTCTGTTTGAGGAACCGATGTTTCTTTGATACAAAGCGGAGATACCCATCGTAAAACATAATGCGGCCCACCAGCTTTATCATTCGTCCCTAAAAAAGTTTATTGCACATATGGCAAAAATAGCGGGATCAAAACACAAGTTGGAATAATAGTTGAGGAGTTTTATCGATAATAAATAAAAGAATTAAAAAATAAATGCCTCCTCGGAAATGAATAGAAGAAGTAAAGAAGGGAGAAAATAAACTCTTTATCTATAAGCATATAGAATTTAGACGATGAAATCTAACCGCTCATTCGTGCTCCACCAAAAGGTTGCTGTCCAACTACAGAACCGGTTGACTTATCATTCAGATACATATTCCCTACAGCATTTCGAAGAATGTCGCGAGACATGTACAAAAATTCCCTGGAAGATGAACTCTTTCAAATATAGAAATTAAATAACTATGATTTTTACAAATTCGAACGAAGGCGTTTAAAGTTTTCACAGATAACTTAAATAATAATGTCAATAAATAGTGACATTACTATTTAAGTTTAATTACTCAATCTTCATTCTTTTGCATCGCAGAGTATGCGATAAAACTGCAAGGACGAATCAAGGTGAATACTATCATACTAGTTGAATACTGGTAAATCAGCGTGCATCGCGCAATAGTTGAAATTAACCATTGCGAGATGCACGCTGATTTACTGGTTTGTTACCAAGACATTATTATATTCTAATTTAAATTATTCTCAAGGAATTCAAAAATAAAGAATATCATTGCATCCAATTACCTGTCCTCCGAAAATACAGCTCCAGTGAGACCGAATACTGTTGAGTCCTTTATTTTTTTTATAATGTCTAATGCTTCACTGTCTTTATATACATATGTAGTCAATACAGGTCCAAAAATTTCCTAAAGTAATGTTCACTTTGACACTTTTAAACGCAGAAATTCACCGAGAAAGAAATAAAATCGGCAATGAAATACGTTCTAAAATTAAGGCCTACAACTTGCACAATATTTTTTATATTAGATAAAGAACTGTTTCCTATATGAAAGTTAAAATTACAATATGAATGATTTAGTCACTAAGTCTCCGAGGAGCCGAAATAATCTACCATGAGCAGAAATTGCAAATACGGAACCGCGTGATCAAAATTTCAATCTTTGTCACTCAGACTGACTGTATAAAGGAGTTTCAGTTCACTAATAAATCCTTAAGGCAATAAATCAGCACATTATGCATAAAGGTCAGTCTTAAATATACCTCTCTAAGCAGTTTGGAGTCCCATTTATCAACTTGTATGAGAGTCGGCTGAATGAAATATCCCTTAGTGTCATCACATATTCCACCAAAAATGATCTTCGCCCCATCTGCACCTGTTTTAGCATAATCAATATATGATCTGATCGATTTGAAAGCTTTTGCATCGATGACCGCCGACATGAAGATGGAACCATCACGTACCTGTAACAAAGTTGATCAATAAACAATTACAATTTCTGTCAATTTTATCTATATAAATGCGCACATAGTAATTACTACCTAAATAGAGATCCTTAAAGCAAATACCAAGCTTCAATACTTTCACAAGTGCAAGAATTTTAAAAATTAAAAATTAAAAAGTAAGCTACGTAATAAATTGAACACTCACATCTCCAACTTTAAGTTCTTTTTCTATAGCTTCAAGTTTTGCTTGCAGGACTGGCCACAAACTTTCAGGCACGTAAATTCGTGAACACGCACTGCACTTTTGTCCTTGATATTCGTATGCAGAACGAATTGTACATGGTGCCACAGTATCCAAATCAGCCGATGGATGGATGAAGTGAAAGTTCTTACCGCCACATTCTATAAATATCATTCCCTTCCAGTAAGTGTTATTCTGAACTTCTTTATAACACTTCGGTAATAAAATTAAATTCTATCATAACCTCAATTAGAAGTTAAATTCTATCATAACCTCAATTAAAATAAGCAAACAAACCTCCAATTAGCTTCGGAAATGAAATGTAAGTATCCAGATTTTCGGCAACTTTTTTCCACAAATACTTAAATGTTGGCAGAGATCCGGTAAAATTGATAGCAGAAAGGTAAGGAGAAGAAGTTATAGCATTACCAAAAATTGGACCGTCGGATGGTAGGAATGAAATAATTCCAGCCGGAAGACCTATAATGAAGATCTGCAATGTATATATTTTCAACTAACAAAAATATGCCACAAATATAGCATAAAGTTTTTTGAAATGTTTTACTTTCATAGTCTAGCTATAAAAACAAGGAATCAATAATAGAAAATTCTTACCAGCTTCCTCTAAAGCTTCGTAAATAAAATAATTGCTCAATACAGCAGTACATGATGGTTTCCATAACACAGCATTGCCCTAAAATAATTCCTTAGTTCACTTGGTTAGATTAGTAATAATTCTATGATATAAATACTCGGTATAACAAATGAACACATTTTAGTACATTGGGCTTAACATCATACAGTATAATAGTTTACCATCATAGCTGGTGCTGTAGCCAAATTACCACCAATTGCTGTGAAATTGAATGGAGCAATAGCAGCAATAAATCCTTCTAGACTCCTATAAACAAATTCCACATCAATAGTCACGTCTACAAAAATTTCAAGAACACTTCAAAATAAATGAGGAATATATAATTAGAACGATTCTGGTATCAATAAAATATTAACTGAAAATGAAGTCATATACTGTAACTATATTTGCGTGGATGGATGTTAATTTTTGGACTGAAAGGTAATTCCAGTTTAAAAACTTTTATTTGGAGTTTTATTTTCACCTTCAGCTTGATGATGTAAATCGATTACCTAAGAATCATTGTATTAATGACATTTTTCGGTGAAATGGGCTGATATTTTTCCAGCTCCAAGGCGAACTTGGCATTAAATCTGAAGAAATCGACCAGCTCACAGGCTGAATCAATTTCAGCTTGTACGATATTTTTCCCCTGCCCAAGCATTGTGGCAGCATTAAGCTTCATACGATATTTCCCAGCACATAAATCAGCCGCATGCAGAAAGACATCTGCTCGTTTTCTGTAAAAAAGATAAATTAGGATGCGACGAAATTCCTCATCATAACTTTCTATGATGCTTCCAGATCACACAGAGTATAAATGTTTTAATCATTAATTGAAGTAGGTTATACCTGGCAAGATCCAATCAAAGGTATCCTTAAACAGGACCTGTTCTGGTTTCGAATTTTTGCAAATTGAAATAAAAAATAATGAAAAAAAACAGAAAAAGGAAATGAAAGGAGAAGCAGAATAAATCGAAAAACATTAAATTAACTGCCAAGAAATTGATTATATCCGACAACATCTGCAACATAATTGACAACGAAATAGAACAAATATCAGACATTCAGTCCGCTCCAAGTATGCAACACAAAAGAACGACAAATAGAACCTTAACGATTTGCGCTCCCAGTTTTGTTTGGCATTTAGTCCAACTCGAACTGCTTCTTTAATCTGTTCTGTAGTAGCATGTGCAAATCGTGCAATAACTTTCTGATGATCTGAAGGCTGAAATACTTTCACGTTTCAATCGGAAATGGGGGAATAAAGGTATAAGAAATAATTTGAAAGTCAACGATCAAAAAATATAAGCATACTACTAGCACTATCTGTCATTTAGTGAGAAATATTTTCTGATATTTCGGAAAGGAGTGGCATCGACAGCATTCCAGATGTAACCTTGCATTATCTCCACGAAAACGAATACATCCTCCTGTGAAGTTTACCAATCTTAAGCTGATAATATTCCAGTCTTTTGGGTTCCATCCGCTAATTTTCACGATGACCCAAAAACTACAAAATACTAAACAATTATTCTTGAATTTGAAGCAAAATTTTGTGTTTTTTTAAAAGCGTATGCTTCTCACCATAACTTGCTTTTTATCCAGATTTTTCAAAATCTTCTCATTTCCGATCACAAGCGGGACATTTGTAGTTGTACCGGCTATCTCTGACATTGCTTTTTCAAGAGCTATCCTTTCCGTACTACCCTTTTCATATATTAATACTGGTTCATTTTGTGGATTTTTCATGAATTTTTCAGACGTTAAGCCTGATCCACTGAAAATACATATATTATAATCTCTGAGGTTACAATAGTTGAGCATCAAACTAAAGCTAAGAAAAAAAAAGAAAACTTTGTTATTGCTTTACAATTCATATTTTTAGCAGTATATTTAAATGTTCGCATTTCTTCCTGTTTTGAAGAATTCAATAATTTAAACTATGATAATTAATTCGCAGTAGTGTATAAAATATAACATATACCTGAATGTGGAAGCCTGACGAAATAACGAAGTCCATTGACTGACTGTAAGTGTGACAAAATTATGACGAAGCATTGTGTTAGTGAGTACTGAAAATGAATAAATTATAAAAGAAATGTATTTAAATTGATATTCAAAAAATAAGAAATGACAACAAGGACCAAAGATCAAACTAACATTTTGAGAATGAATTCCGCTTTTCGTCCAATCAATATAGGCTGTAAATTTGATGCCATCACATATGCTCTTTTCATGGCATACATTTAATGAGGATTGTATGATAGGGAAAAACTGATTAGTTTACATATTACTATTATTATTATCACTTCTAAACAGATATTATCTGATATCTAACCAGTACCATCTGCCACTGATTCTTACTTCCCAAATATCAGAGAACGGAGATTTCGTTTTTCTTTTAAATAAACATTATTTATACTTGCGACTAACAATTAGCCCATTATGAAAATTCAAGGAATTTTTTTTTGCGAAATATTCTTGAGAAAAATTATTGAAAAATTTTTGAAGGATAAATTAAATTAGGATAAAATATTGCCGCTAATAATCATTAACATTTGTTAATGATTATTTTAAATTTAAAATACATTGCAATTAATCGTGCCAATAAGATTGGATTTGTATAATGAAAGCTGTAAATAATGTCGGTGGTGTAAGGAAGAAAAGAATATGTTAGCACAAATTATTAATTCTTTTTGATAATTAATACATTTCACATTGATTATTAGCTTACATTTATTCCGTCATTTTCAAATACTGAAATAATGCTAAGATATAAATAATAAAAGAAAATAATTATTGATTATTTTTGTTTATTTTACAAAAGATAATGTAAAGTTTCTTTATTACAAGTGATAACAAATTTTGCATATATGTATTTGAAATTTAAAAGACAAGCAAAAAAAAGAATTCACATAATATTATCAGAATCGGATGTTAAAGAATCGTTAACAGGTTGATCTAATATATGATATTTCACATCAGCCAACCATTTGGAGCTTATCATTTGATCAATTGTTAATCTTTTATGAGGTATCGGATGAAGGATATCAAATATTAATCGTTTCACATCCATACTTATCTTTGCTGCTTGTGGATATGCTATTCTAAATAATTTAATAAAAGTATTTCAAATGGATTAATTTTAAAGAAAAATTAATAAATTAAAATTAAATAGAAAAAAATACTAAAAATAATGGTAAAAGTGGATTAATTAAAATAAGTGAAACAAAAATTAAAATTCGAATGTTTACATTATCAACGAACAGCAAATATTCTTAATGTATATTTAACGAAATTTGTGAAAACAAATTTTATATGCTTTATCAGTCATTGATAATGATTTGATAATAATGAAATATTAAAATAAAAATCATAAGAAAGAAAAAGAAATATTTCTGTTAAATTTTACTTTGAATGATGGAAATGAGAAAGAAAGAGTTAAATTGTACAAAATATTCTTAAAATTTTTGAAATTAAATTATCTAAAAAATTATTAAATGCAATTTAAATTTCTAATTATAATATAATTCAAATTAAAAACAATGTAATTAAATAGATGATTCAAACTATAATTTTGATTATAATTTAAAGTTTAATTGAAATACAAAATATAATATACATAGAGATAAAGTGATATAAAAATTTATGACCTATGTTGCAATTGTCTTTCCAACATTTTTTGCACATTCCTATCATCATAAGGCATCATTCCCGTTATCATCACATACAGTACAATCCCCGCACTCCATATATCCGATAGATATCCATCATATGGTTGCGCTCTGCGAGAATTTTCAAACTTTTTATTTTTATTACAATACGTTCTCCTCATGTTGTTGGAAATTTAATTTGCTGTCACGACGGGATAAGTTTTTTTCATTCTAACAAAAGTTTAGGAATCCTTAAGTTAGCTCATTGAGAAATGTTTCCCGTCTACTTCAATCCTATGAAAATCTCTCGATTTAAAATTTCCAGGAAGGATTTTCGAAGAAAGCAATATAAGCTTTAAAATTAATTTCAATATATAAGCTTTAAAATTAATTGTGAGAAAATATGTGGCCTAAAGTACAATTAAGTTTTTGTTTGAAAAAATATATGGTCGAAACATGATTGAACTATTGTTTTAAAAAAAATAGACGATTACCTAGATTATAGTATTCAAAAATATAGTTAGATTATAGTTTTCAAAAAATATAGCTTAGAATAGGCCACTATTTCAAAAATAGACATTGAAGATCGATTATAAGATCGATCAAACCTAATAATTTCTGGAGCTAGGTACGCTCGAGAACCGCAAAATGTTTTTGATTTTTCGCCAATTTTCAATAATCGCGCAAAACCAAAATCGGTAATTTTAACGTTTTCGCATGAATCGAGCAATATATTCTCGCATTTAATATCGCGATGTACAACTTCCATTGATTTTAAATACTATTATATAGAATTTTTTTATTTTTAAAAGATATAAATTGAGCTAAATTAGCAGTAACATGAAAAGAGATAGCTTGGTTAGACTTAATACCTTCATTGCCTCAATAAGTTGTCGAAAATGTATTTTCCCTTCGTTTTCATCAACTTTACTTTCACGTCTTATTTTTTGTAACAGATCACCTCTAGTCGTAAAATCTTGTATAATACAAACGTAAGGGTTTTTTTCAATTACCTGAAAATTTGACGAAGGAAATTTTAAGAATTAAATCTTCAAAATCAGGCACTTAAAGTTATGAAAAATAAAATGGAATTAAATTTTGAAAGTGATTTATTTCAATTTCAAAGAAATAAATCGATATGATCCTATTAATGAATGATTTTGTGACTTCAGGTGCAATAAAACTTTCTTCTTTTTTCTTCTTAAATTCAAACAATTACTTCATAAACTTTAATAATATTGTCATGTTTCAACTTTCGAACAAGTTCAATCTCACGTGGCAAACATTTTCTCGTGTATCTTGAATCTTTCCTGAAAGAGTTTTAATTTATCACTGATAATTTATAAGGGAAAATGGAAATAGCATGGGAGTGTATGATCGAATCTTGAAAAATTAAGATGACAATATTTATTTGGAATGATTTGATAAGGGAAACAAAAGTTGAAAAATAATATGGTAATGGAGAAATTAACTGATACATTGCTAATCATAAACTAATAATAAATATCCGGTTAATGATAAATTAATCACAAATGACCGATTGATGATATTCGATAAATGATAAATTAATGATAATTCATATTTGACTACAACCTTATGTCGATTATTTTTATAGCAACCATTTTGGCTAACACATTGCACCAACCTCTCTTCACAATAGAAAATGTTCCTTTGCCTAAAGAAATAATTGAACGAATTGAAATGAATAGAATGAATTGGAAATGATCTTTGTCTGCAACATAATTTGCCGGAATAGGTTAGAAAATAATGCTTAAGAAAAAACTGTCAGGAAATTTTCTGGAGATCGGTTATATCATTCATGATGTCATAAATAAGCAATACATTTCGTTGCAGTTACGGACCAGAAAAAGAGAAGTGATAAAAGTGATCAGTGAAGCTCTTTGCAAAACTGAAGCATCTCCTCCTTATCATCATCATCATCACTGTGCTACTTACTTTTCTTTCACTTTTCTGGAAATGTTTTTAGAAATTCCGGAATGCAAAGAAATGAAAAAGATGTGAGAATGCAGAAGTCATTAACCAAAGTCAAAAGTCAACGTGCAGAAGACGAGGAAGAAAGAGGTCACCGAGATTTTCGTAGAAAATGACTCCTCGTATTTTCATTTCATTAGCCATCTCGGGAGTTAAAATTCCAATAATTTTATCGTCTACCATATCCACGTTCTTATTGTCCTTCATAGTTTTCGTTCTTATCAATAATTTCGCTCTTTCATCCATTCTTACTTCCTCATTTTTCTCATCCTCTTTCACTCTCTCAACTATTTGATTTCTCTTTTCTTTTCCATCCCTCTTTACACTTTCAGCTCCTTGGATATTGAGTGTTCTATCATTTTTTATATTTTTATCTACTTTCCCATTTCTTTTATCTTTTCTTGTTTCATTATTCTTTCCACTCTTTAACTCTACTTTATTTCTGCCATCCATCTTCATTTTCTCATCTTTCTCTTCTCTCTTTAATTTTTTGTCACTTTCATTTTTCTCTAAATTTCCTTCTTCCTTATTTTGTTTGGCTTTTTCTTCCTTTTTATCTTCCTCCACTCTACTCTTTTTGTCATATTTCTTTATGTCTTTCACCTTTTTATCTTTTTTTATTGCTTCTTTGTTGTCCTCTTTTATTTCAGCTTCTCCTTCGTTCTTTTCATTTCTTATCATTACCGCTGAAGAATCAGGCAACACCTGTAATGAATTTTATCATCCAGGCTGCCTGTATTTGCAAATTTGATATAAAAGATCCTTTTAGTGTTTGTTATCCGGAAAAACTGGAAATTTTACAATATTCTACGCGATATAATTTTCTCGGTAGTACCGAAAATTTAAAATGATCGTTTTATCGTTTTCTTATTGATTAATCTGAAATACAAAATAATTGTTCAGCACTAAATCAGCTAAATATAATTTTCAATCTCAAATTCTAATTCTCATTTGTTGCATTTTATGTGTTTTATATTCATTTAATCAATTAAAATTCAACATTCATTAAACTCTAATCGATACATTCTTTAAAGATTAGAATTTAAGATTGAAAATTATATTTAGCTTTAAGAATTTCTATAAACCTTTTTTTCTTTTAAATTTTCATTCGTTCCGTCCATTTGCGATTGTAATGTGAAATAACGATAAAACGTTTATTAAGATATCGCGGGAATAGTCTACCAGGTAATTTAAAAAAAGAACGTATAACGAAGTAATTGAAATAACGAAAAAGTGTGCGTCAAATGTGACAATCACATCTTTTATAGTTAAAATTTTGGATGAAAACATGCAAAATAATTTGCATATTTAAGAAATATTTCAATTTTTGAATGTAATTTAGGCAAATTAAAAGAAATGGCAAAAAGAATAATTGTTTTAATTAATGAAAGAATTTCATTTCAGTAATGTATGTATTACTGAAATGGCTATTAAGGTATTCATTAAATATGAATGGAACTTTCTCATTTCAAAATTATAATAAATAAAATTTAAAAACTAAAATTTTTCACATCGATTATGCTAATTTTAATAACTCATCTCATTAATGATGCATACATTACTAAAATGGAATTCTTTCATTTGTTGAAAGTAAATGGGAATATTAGAAATGAATCAATGAAATATTTGAAGTATGAAGAATAAACAAAAGCAATAATCTCTTTCTTTCTTTCTCTCTTTCTCTCTCTCTCTTAAAGATTTGATTAACGATTAAAAGTTCAACTAGAAATCGTATTACTGGTCCTTTGTAAAATGCTGGAGTGATGATACAGGTATTTCAGAGTGGATAAAATTTGATTTTTTTTTTTCAAACTTTACATTCAAAAAAAGTGCTAAATAAACCGTAAAATTACGAATTCAATAGACGATAATTGGTTAGAAGTTCTAATATGAGGTGGTATAATCAACAATCGGGAAACATGCAGTATATGCTGGATAATACATTATCGATTGCTATATGCTAAGAAAATTTTCTCGTAGAAGATTTATGCACATATTGAAACTATTTATAAACTTTTAAGTGGTCGTCGAATACTTCAAATTAAAAAAAATCGACTTAATGGTTAGTACTTTACTTAATTAATTTAACTCTTTCCTTTGGTCTTACTAGGGGTGGTTAATATTTTAAAATTTTCACAGTTCCTTCTAACTAAGATCAGCTTTTTTGTGAGAATGGTGCAAATTTGAGTTAAAAAAAAGTTCAAGACAAAATGGCCAAGAATTTGAATTTCGGACCTTTGATTTTAGGAAGAATGACCAAGGTCAAAAAATGCAAACAAACAAGCTTATTAATGCAAATAGTATGCTTACATTTTTGATACTAAAATCGTTGTGATAATATTTAGCTCAGATAACAAATGATAGAAAATATCAAATTAACTTATCAATAGTCTAGAAGATGATAAGGAAATAATAAATAAATTATGTTAGAAATATGATAATAGCATTTGTAGTCTAACGATAAATGTTTTCATAACTGTAAATTTTAAAATGCAATTAAATTATCGCAACTAATTATCTTATGATAAAAAAATGATTCAAAATTTCGATTCTTTATTACAAATATAAACATTAACAACAAATAATGGTAAAAAAGGAAAATATAATAGAAAATAAAAACCAAAAAATTATCAAAAGATTTAAATGTATTTTATTGATACGGTTGACAGATAACAATTTCTTAATTACTGTAGCAATCGTAGTGTAAAGGAAATGCAAAACATTATAATTTGAAAATTTTCTATTATCAGGAGAAGAAGGATAGTGATTATTGTTGTAGTGATAAGTAAAAGTATTTCGAAGAGTTTAAAAAAGTGTTCGCAATAGAAAAATATAATAATGAGGTAAATACAATAGATAAATGCAATATAAATACAGTGTAAGTACAATAGACAAATACAGTAATAAATAAATACAGTTATTCGTCATTTATTACAGTATAAAATTCTAACAGTCATAATCACAAAGATTTAATAAATCATATAAATAATACATTTTAAGCCATAAAAATTTATCATGTTATAATTTAATATTCCATTCATAATATTTAATCTGAAAAAAGGAATCACAAAAAAGTGATTCCAGGCAGACTAATAATTATTATTTATAAGAAGGAAAAGATTGTACGTAAGAAATTGTATAAATATTTGATTGATTATTCATTGGAATGTTTACAAAAGCTGTAAACAATACCATCCTTAATAATTAAATTATGCTATCTTTCTTTCCTCTTTTTTACATTAATACTTTGCTATTGACTGAAATTACATATTATGTTGAATTTACAAACAAATTTCAATTTTTAACTATTACTAAAATATAATTTTTGAATAATAAATATTTGTTAATGTAATAATTTGCATTTTAAATACACTTAAACTGTATTATAATCAATCAAATTGTCATTTAAATTATTTGTAATTGAATCGATAAGTTAGTTCCTTCCTTTATCTTATCATAATTACAGTTATTGTAATAGGAAATTGAGGTAGTCTGATAAATTTGATCAAAACAAAAGTAAAAAAATTTTTTCCAACTAATTCATTATAATATCTGGCATCCAAAAATCCTCTACACTCAACAAAAGTTTCTAAATTTTAATTAAACTATTTTTAAAATTTGGTGTGGGATTTTTTCTGGGAAAATTATTTCTTCAAATCTAAAAAGTATTCTAAAGAAAAAAATTATTTACATTTGTCAAATTTTCGTCATTATTAAAATCGCCTGAACATTCCATTAAAACTTATGCGATAATTAAAACTTCACAATCCATTCAATTAAACTAACTTTGAAGAAATCTTTCACAATGTCACTTCATGCAAAAAAGAGCCAGGTTGAATGCCAGGTAAAAATTCCAGGTGGGAATTTTTAAATGAAACTTTTGAATTAAAACAAAAACCTTGCATTATTAATTTCATAGTAATCAAAATTATTCAGTAGAAGGGAAAAAACTTTCTTGAAGTAATTTATTTAAAAAAGAAACATTTTTTTCTTAATTTTGACAAAAATATTCGATTATACTTTTACTATCAAAGAATAATTATTTGTTTTACTGATATCATCAAAGAAAAGTCATATATATATTGATGTCTTGACCGGTTATTATTACATTTTATATCAAATAAGCATCCGAAAAATTGCTTTCCGGAAAGGAAAAAGGGAAATATACTTTGAGTTATTTCATGGTATCAAAAATTTTTGCATTGGAATTTTATAATTCTGTTGTTAATCCAAAAATTTTTTGTTGAAATTAAAATTTCTTTATTTCTTTAAATTTGAATATTAATTAAATAAATAAATGTAACCATTGGAAAAAATTTCAAATTTGTATTATTTAGATGATGAGAAAGTATCGAAAAAGAACGTTGTTGAAATGCTGAAAATTGGTGAAATACTTCGCAATAGGTATAAAATCGAAAAAAGACTAGGCCGTAGTAATTATAATCAAATTTATCGGTATATAAATATTTCCTTATCAGTTAAGCTTATCAGATAGTTAAACTATTTATCTTTACTGTAATTACTTGCCCAAATATTTTCTAAATCTTATGATTGATTATCAGCACTAACATTACAACTAAGATGACTTAACACAATTAAACCTTATTAAGAATAAGTTTTTCAACTTTAATGTATTTTATTCTAAATTATTAATTAATACTAATATTACAAATAGGATAAGTTGTCGCAATTAATTTAAATTTATTATGGATTAAAAGCTTTATCATTTTTGTATATTACATATATTATAACGAAAGAAATAAACTACAGTAATAGTTTTTATCAAATTGATATATTGAATGCAGTATACATTTGGTATGCAAAGAAAGGTAATAGTTAGGCAAATAATTGTAATTAAGTTATGTTTGTGGATAAAGTTGCATATTAGCATGGCACTCAGGTATTGAATTTTTTCCAGGGCCTATGATAATATTAAATCTCGACCTGTAGTAGTGAAAATTGCAACACCAAAATTAGACCCGAGACGAATGAAAATTGAACAAATGGTTTTAACTTTATTACGTGGAAAAGTTAATATTTGCCTTTTAGTAATTTAAATTAAGTAATTAAGTAAAAGAACTATTTCATTCTGATCTTTCCTTTAAATTAACAAAATATATTATCTGATATTTTACAAAATTACCACACAGTTACACAAATAATTTGAACTTAAAATTTGGAAGTTTTTTGTATTACATAACATGCTCGTTATTATTGCAACACATTACATTTTTATTCAACAAATTTCAACAAATTCAACAACAAATTTTTATTCAACAATTATTCAACAAATTTTAAGAACTATGAACTATGAAATACGCTAATTGATATAATAAATTAAGCTTTCACCAACTAAATTAATTTAGAATCATTTTGTGACATTGATTGGTATGGGACAAATTCACGATGTGCCATATCTTGTAATGGATCTTGTTGGCCGTAACTTGGCTGATATACGTGAACAATATCTTTCTAAACGATTACAGCCAATAACCGTTTATAGAATATCTGCACAAGTAAGAATGAAATAAAATGAAATAATTTTTTGCTTCAACAATATTTTGAATGATATATATATATTGTTTGCAGGTGATAAGTGCGCTACGTGACTTGCATACTGTAGGATTTTTACATCGTAACATTAAACCATCAAATATTTGCATTGGTAGAGGTGCACAAAGACGTGTGATTTATCTTCTTGATCATGGTAAATTCCATTAAAAAATTTTAAACTTCTTAAATTTTATATCTTTTTTTGCTGAAAACTTTTATGTAATTTTGGACGTATGAAATATAACAATGATAGCAGCATGTTAATGATATTAATCAAGGCATGGCACGGATGTTTACTGAAATAGACGGTAGAATTCGAAAACCGCGCCATCACGCAGGTTTTCGTGGTACACTACGTTACGTATCATTGACAGTACATTCACGTGCTGAAACCGGTCCACGTGACGATCTAATCGCGTGGTTTTATTCAATGGTATCTGCTCAATTTTTCCTTTACTAATAGTAATTAAGAAAAAAGAGTTTAGGATTGTTAAAAATTTTATGTCAATCTTTTTTTCATCTCTTTGAAACCACAACTGACCTTTACTGATCCATGATCTTCCTGACATTTTCTTCATTGTTGTACACTGTTTTCGGTTTTATATAAATTGTAAATTAAAAAAAAATTAAAAATTAAAAAATTAAAAAAAGTAAGTTAAACTGTAAATTAAAGCAAAATTACTTTAACATTTAATTATCAGATTGAACTAATTAATGGGAAACTACCATGGAGCGGTCTAACTACAGCAAAAGATATCGAGGAATCAAAAAGGAAGGAAACCTTTGAAAGTTTATGCAAAGATCAACCAAATCCATCTCTTGAATTTGCTAAAGTTAGAATTGATAATTGTTGTTTAAAATTAAAAAGAACTTTGGAAACATTTTAAAGGCAAAAAAAAATTTTGATAGGAAATTTAATGAATGAATAATCGTAATGAAACATTAGTGCCTCATTTGTTACTTAAATTTTTGCAATAATTTCACTTCCGTTAAGATCGAATATTTAAAATATTTTGAAATTTAAAACTAACCTTAATTTTTATGCTAGCTTTTTAGAAAATAACATCACTAAATGCTGCCACCATGCCAAATTATCAAGAGTTAATTACAATATTCAAAACAGTTAAATATAAGGATGATTCACCGTTCGAATGGGAAATACATAAATCGTTACTTTTAATATTTTAAAATTACATTTCATATTTTAAAAAATGATAAAAATTCGTCCAGATAAAATAAAATAAAATAAAAATTTTAAATAAAATTAAGATAAATCGAAAGGATCACAGATTTACTAAAATTGAAATTATTACTTTTGTTTAATTCTATATTTATATAATCGATATATGTACATAGAGGACTTAATAATTATATATGTATAATATATACATTTATATTATGTATCGGAGATTTAATAATATAATTATAATTTTATCAATATATTTTTCTCAAACAATTGCATACATTTTTTGCAAATTTCAAAAATAGGAATTTATTGAAAATTCCATCATTCTCATTATAAAAGGTGCCTTAGAATTAATTTATTCACCTATATAATGGTACGAAAAAGAAAAAGAATTATTAACTATTTTGTTTTATACATATATATTTTAGTAATAAAACAAAAGGAATGATAAACGAAGGTGCAAATACTGTCAACAAAAAAGTAAGTTACTTTTTTATTCAAAATTTATTAGAACTCATACCTGTCATCTAAAATTTCAATTTAAATAATAATATTTCTGTTTATCATTTACAGATAAAAATTCATATTTTGTTATTAATTTTACTTATATTCATTTCTTTTTAAGTTGTATTTAATTTGAGATTTTTTTTATTATTGTTAATTTCTTGCAATATCAATTATTAATTGATTATCTGAATTAAGGGTGTGAAATTTTGTTTAATTATTCAATTGGGCTTAGAAAATTTTAACTCTTTCCTATAATTAAAGGACTTTTTTTAATTACGGAAAACCGGTAAATATATAAGCCTGAGTGCATTGATTATCCGGTGGAATGAAACTTAACAACAAATTATTTAACTATTAGTACGCAATAATTGAAAATTTTGAAAGAATTATATCAAGTCTATAACTGACTCAACGACATTCAAGAGGACTTCCTTAAGGATCACCGGATAATTTAACCGGACGGATATGGCAAATGCAAATTAACTAAATATATCAATATGACACTTTTCATTAACCAATAATCAATCCATTTAATGCAAAATTTCTCAGGCAACAGTTGAAGAAGCAGCAAAATTGACAGAATCCAAAAAAGAAAGAAAAAGATGAAAGAGAAAATTTAAGAAATTACGCATTATAATTCTACGTCTTCTTTAAAGTTTGTATTTGACACACAAAAATTTGCATATTTGTCATCTTTAAATTACCGATAGTACAAAAATTATAATTTCTTTTTTTAAATAATTTCATTTAAGAAAATTGAAAGAAAAAGAAAAAGATACGATTGTTCTGTTGAAATTAAAAATTCCCCAATATTATTTATGTATAATTAGTAAAATATTTGTGCTTTAAAATATTGAAATTTCCCTAAATTTCTAACAGAATGGCATCTTTTGCTTTTACCTTTGACCTCTAGTGAACCAGATGGATAGTGGACCATTTCAATTGTGAAGTACCCTAACATGCAATTTTTCTTGAAATGCATCGGCAATAGCATGCATATACGATTTGAGCAGTAAGATTTATAACCTTTGGAGTGGCCGATGTTCCATTAATTAAGAGCTTGCAATTATCCAATTTTCTTCATCAACCGAAAGATCACGGGTCAAAGGTCAGGTATATAGAAGAAAACAATTGTTGCATAAAGTTGAAAAAAAAGAATGACAAGAACAAAAAGATATTATATTGTATATCCCCATAATTTCGGATTAAGAATGTTTTTCTTTTGTTTCTTCCTAAAATGCCTTTCATAAATTGAACATAGACAAAAGGCCCTACTAATGACACTCAAAAGATTAACTAAAATTATCTCTGTCACAAGAATATTCTTCCACTTCTCTTCCTATGCCATTTCTCATATCACTTCTTCGTTCCTTCTATTACCATTTTTAGACTTCCAAATTTAAATATTCATTTGCATTGACAAATTCAAAATGACAGAGCTAGTGTTGAATTAAAATATGATTCAATGAACAGATCAAGTTATACAAATTATCGGCCAACTTTTATCGTTCTACATTCCTTCCTTCCTCTCTCTGTTCTCTCCCTATCACTTCATGTAATTCAAATATCCGACTATTCCTGTTATTTACATTAGAAATGATAATAATCAAAGATTTCACGGTTTGATTACTAATACTGTCTGATATTGTTTCAATTATTACTTCCTCACATTTAGCGCCATGATTTATCGTTATCAGGAAAAACGATTGGTTATCAGAAGATTAAATTTCTTATCAGTTGTATTAATGTGATGGGCTTATTCATTTTTAGTTCCATATGAGAAAAGCTAAACTTTTTGTTAAATTATCAAATAATCATTGCTTGTTAGTATCATTGAATTTGTTTCACATAGCTAAACTAAAGAACGCTTAATATTTCAATATAATAAATGATATAGAAGAAGTTTAATTTATGATATCCACTAATAAAAATTATTCGACGTGCTCATTTCAAAGTCAATTAGAAAGTTTTAATAGCGTTAACTTCCAGTTTCCTTAAATCTTGGCGCCAGTGTTCTTTCACTATTAAATACTATTTGGCTGTACCAATATGTTTGCGTTGTTGTTGCATAGATTAATTCTCGTAGAAATATTTAATGTTAGCATTATCAAAATTGAAACTTGCTCATTCACATAATTTTTGATAATTTATTTAATTTTCTTCCTCCCACTTTTAATTTCTTTCCATTTCAATGCGATCATTAATTGTGATACGTATCTTTCAATATTTATTGTACCAATAATTCGAAAATAAAAATTTTACACTTTCATCAATTTTTTTTCATTTGCAAACCTTAAAAAAACTTTAAATAATAAATTTATTGACTTAATTGCTGACAGTATTGCAAAGTAACCCTTTCAATTGAAAAAAAATGCAGTGAGTATATTATTTACAAAATCTTTTGGCGCTAATGTCCTTTCACTGTTAAATGCTATTTAGCTTTCCAGTAATTAATATAAATTATGTCTGCTTTGTTTAAAAGAAATTTGAATTCCATCCTTACAATCAATTTATTCAACTCTCAAACAATTCACTTATTTTCAATCTTGCATTTTTTAAAGTTCAATTTGCAACATTAAAAGTTTAGAAAATTAAAAAATTTTGATTTACCTTATTTTATAAAAAAAGGGAATTAATTGTCACATTTGTTAAAGTAAACAATCTTTTCCTTCTCTCTAAAATTGTTCGAATTTTACGAATTTTAATTGTAAAGCATTATGATATTATTACTTGCACTTCCATAATGAAACTTAAAACAAAAGAAATGCCTAAAATATCGTTTGTTAACAGTTGAAATTTAAAAAGGTAAAAAATGGCACTGGAAAGGGTAAAGGTTAAGAGAAAAAAGAAAATGAAAGAAGCGAAAATAAATAAAATAAAATGAAAAGTTAGCAATGAAAACCAAAAAAGAAGTTTGTAGGATAAGATGAAAAATGATAAAATGAGTCGTTTCATTTTTTACTTCTTTTTTAACCGAGCGGTCTAATCTTTGAAGTAAAAGAGAAGGAACTGATAAGCATGCAACTGCGATATTTTCCGCACTTCCAACAACATTCAATCATTTATTTAACAACGCACCGATTCACTTCACCTTCTTCTTTTTTCTAAATCATTTAAATTTGAAGCTTTTCTAAATAAGTGTTCTTTTGCAGCTGTTTGATAGAAAAAGTTCTAATCTAATTGCCAGTTGACAATGTTATTTCAAATCTTCTTCCTTTTAAATTTGCTCCAAATATAAAAATTCAAATATGGCAGAGTTCTTTCTTTCTTCTCTTCGTTTTTTAAAATTTGTAATTTTTTGTTAAAAAATTCAAAAAGTTTTAGTAGAAATTTTAATTATTAATTAAAAATAAATGAAATAAATTAACGAATATTTCTTAGAGTTGTAATTTCAAACATTTCATGGAAAGATTCACAGATTCAACGTTTAAATTGCATTGTAATAAAATCATCGAACAATTCAATCAAACAAAATTAGCATAAATTATTGTTTTAAATATCTCTATATTTGTTTAAGATTAAAAAATGAATTATTATAACTGTTGTGGAAGATTTATTTTTTAAAGCATGTCTATATATTAGTATTAATTCAAATGATAAGCGCTTATCATAGTATCTGTTACAACAAAGGTATTTCTTTTTACTTCATCAAAAAACGAAAATAAGAAATTGAAATTTGTGGAATTTTATGAATTTTGCTATTTAATTATCAATTCTAATGCTATCTATGATAAACATATATCATCGATTATGTTAATCTTTTTATTTATTCAATGATTATCAAATAATTCTTCGCAATTTCTTAAATCATTTCTGAAATCATTTCAAATATTTACATTATTACATATTTTGCTACGAATTGTTGCTAATGTTAGGCCTAAAAATAGCCAAAAGCGAATTTTAGCAATTATTCAGAAATATTAATAGTATTGAACCGTAAAATCCATTATGAAATTTCCATTATTAATATAAAAGCTATGAATATACGAATTCAACGGAAACAAAAAATTTTTGCTGATTTTGACCGATGACCAATGGCTAATAAAAGAAAGAAAGAAATATATTTTACTTATATACTCAATTAACTATCTGTGAATTAGCAATTGAATTTTCATCATTTTTCACTGAAATTATTGCCAAATAATATCCCTCAAATGGACTAATTTTGGTCATTTTATTAAATTGAAAAATTATAAATAACAACAGAAATTGTAATTTTAGATTTTTGCTTTTCTTTGAAAGAATTCAACACAGTTAAGTTTAAATTAACGTGAAATCGAGAATTTGAAATCTGATAAAAATTAAAGATTTCTTTCTTAGCATAAATATTTAATTATTTTATTTAATGAATTGTTCAATTTTACGATTCCATTCAAACTATTAAAATTTTCATTTCTAATATGATTTTAATGAAACAAAATATATCATTCATTCATGAAGAAATGGAAAGGTAGTTATCATCCTGCTGTATATGCATTTTGCATCAGTCGTCAAA